AAATGTATATATACACCCAGGCTACCACTATTTCCTCATGCAAAATTTCTGCCCATTTTTATGCAGTGGGAAACCTCTGCTCTGGAACACTGGGAAGGCCTGAGAAAGGGAGAACGGACTGCAGGTTAAGTGACCTTTTTAAAAAGCATGTGCAATTAAATAAATCAATAAATCGAGATATGTATAATAGGTACTGAAATGTTTTGTGCAATGAACTGGTTTTTTTTAAAGAAACAGCTGTCAGGTATCAGGTATGCAAATGAATCCTTCACCCCTTACCGCTTGTCTCAAAACGGGCTTTGATGGGAAGCATCTGCTGATTTTGGATGCACATTTGATTTTTTTTTTTTAAATTCAGGTTCCTCTGAGATCCCCCCCCCCGAAAGTGAAGAAATTGGTAGATCCTGGTGGATTCTCCAAATGTGAAAAATAAAACAAAACTACACTGAAATCTTGACTTACAAAGACAGGCCCTCATTGATCTGGTAGAACTTAGCTCTCTAACACTCCACCACCCCCACCACCCTATGCCGTTTTACTAATTTTTATCCCTCCGGCTGCATCCAGAACGGCACTCACTAGGCTGGGTTTGATGCCGACGCTCTCGGCTGCTTGGAAAGCCAAAAGGAGATTCCGTTTCTGTGGAAAATAAGACAGGAGAGGATGTCACGATAACACAACCGCCTCGTCTCCCACCAGCCTGACTGCTTCCTCCTGTATGTCGTGGCAATTAGAAAGTTCGTTGGTGGCCAGAACTTTGCAGCAGCGGTGGGGGAAGAATAGTCTGGTTTTGGACTACAAATCCCAGAATCCCTGAGTGAGCAGGCCTGGCAGCCGTAGTGATGAAGAATTCTGGCACTTATAGTGCTCCCCCCCCCCAAAAAAGAAATTCGTTCCTCGATCAGGTTCAGCAACGTACAGATTGCAGACAGAGTCTTTTTGGTAGCGGGAGGTGGAAATCTTTGAGGTTCCAAAGTTTGGGAGAAATTCTAGATTCTTCTGGACTGGCAGGTTTCTTAAAGGCAGTCTACAAACTTACATCATCTTCATATTGGCAAGGAGGCCCAGCATAGCCATGGGTCACAACCCTCACTTCAGACATTTCAGGGTGAGGCGTGACCTCCTGTCAGGAATGGCCTGCTGGCTGCAATGATGGGATTTGTAGTCCCCCCCCCCCAAAAAAAAGTGAGGATCTTTTCCCTGCAATACCGCCAACTAGCTGCTTGCAGGGAACAAGGAAGATAAAACCAAGAGCTGACAACTTAAATACCCCTTTCCAGCTGAACAAATAAATAATAGCAACAGGAATGCGAATTATTCGGAAGGTGAAAAGCAATGGGAACCAGTTCTGTCACTAGCTGTCCAGGGGCTTCTCTGCAAAGACGGAGCAATCATTGCTCCCTCTCAGGTAACTTGTTGACTTTCAGATTAAATAATACATGAAAGAGAAAACTCTCATCAGGAAACCCAACCTTTCTTTTACACAAACATTAACCCACCACAACGGACAGAGTGACTTCAGGCATGCCAGAAGGAGCTTCTGAGGTTTATGAGCTTGTAAAGTTTTGATTTTTTTTTTAATATTTATTTTTGCAGAAGGCTTGACGGTTGCAATAAAGGTGGGAGGATGTATGAAAAACCGGAGGCAGAAAGATTTCCTGGCTGAGGCTGAATTCGCCGTCACCCCCACCCCATCTAACGATCAGGCTAGGAGGAGTGTCCAGTTAATCATCTTTGGGCCAAGAGACCAGGTTGCCAGCCCAGAGATTACCAGGCTTTGGACTACAACTCCCAGAATCCTGCAGCTGGCTGTACAGGCTAAAACGGCTTTGGACTACAACTCCCAGAATCCTGTAGCTGGCTGTACAGGCTAAAGGACAATGGTTATTGTCATTTCCCACCCAAAATGGATTCCACCCCCCTCACAAACCGTGGGGTCACTTTCTCCATCGATGGCCGTATCTCTGAGCACAAACCAGCTTTGAGATCTGGGAGGATTAGTTTTTAAATCTCTTTCTTCTTCAAGCCTCTCCTTCGTTATTTGCCTTCTTAGCCTCTGCTTGGCTTTGCTCTCTCAGTTAAACACCAGATCCCATGTTCCTGTCCTTTCACCCGGATTCCTGGCACTCGAACCCCTCTCTCCTCTCCTTGCAAATACTTCAAACAATCTCGCCATGATGACAAGCCCTAGAACAGGTTTTATGGCTCTGGGTGACAGGGACGGGACAAAGTCTGGGAATCAGGAGCTGACATTTGCCCTGAGTTTTTTTGTTTGGCCATCACAAAAATGTGGATTGAAAAAAAAATTAAGAAAACTTTGGGAAGTTTGTTTGAAAATGAAAATCACTGCCCAATTTTTTTTTTTTGCCTTGCGTCAGATGGGACTCGGGAGATCATACAAACGGTCCCACCCTGCAGATGACGTTGTCGTGCGTTTTTTGACACACAGAAACGTGAAAGCGTTTCCTAAGGAGACACAGTCAAGGAACCGAGGAACAAGCCACGCTCCCCCCCCCCCCATCATGGGGTCATGATTTATTCTCTACTCCTAGACACTTCTCCACATTTTAGCGGAAGGGTGTGGAGCTACTGGGTGATCTCAAAGTGCAATAAGTAAATGATAGAGTGAGGGAAGCAGTGGATTGGAGATAAGAGACATTTCCCTACATTAGAACCTTTCTGAAAGCCCCAAAATGCCACTGCAGCAAATAAATGTGGGCGGTTTTTAATTGCCAAAAGGAGCCGGTTTTGTAAAGTTACTAGTCCTCAATGATTAGCTGTTCCTTGTTGCTATTCCTTCCAATTTCGATTAAGGTGG